CTCCTATTCTGACTGTTTAAGTGCGCCCCGTAAGAAAGTCTTATCGACAGGATTATTCGATCTATTCCAGTTTGTGACAATTTGGCAATTTAAAGGCCATGTGGAACATCAAATGCCTTAAAAATCTAATATTTTTGCGTCGACCCTACTCCCTTTGTCTAATGAATTTGATATGTCCTGACAAAAAGAAATTGTCTGGCAGTCGCACGAATACCCAGGACGAAAACAGTGTTGATTTTGAAATAGCCAATCAGTTTTATTCCAAACTCGTCTAATATACTCGGCAAATATGTGTTCCATCTGTTTGCATACGATTGATGTCAAACTTATAGGCCCGTATTTGTTAATAATCCTTCTGTCTCCTCCCTTGTGAATCGGCACTACGACTGCCTCTTTCCAATTTTGAGGAATCATGTTATTATTTACAGTAACCTCCATTAACCGCGCAAGGTACGGAATCATGGCTTTCCCACTCAGTTTTAATTTTTCTCCAGGTATTCAATCTGATTTATGTCTCCTAATTTTTGCAATTCGTTTTCTAATAATTCCTCTATTGATTCGAAAGGTTTCTATTACGGGCGTTGTTTCACTAGGGTTTGATACTTCGGCTTGAAAACAGATGAGTAATGTCTGTTAAAACAAGCCGCCTTTTCACTGTCATCTGTAATTAACGAATCATCTGCTCCGCATATCGCTGGACTACTTTCTTTGATCCCTTTCTTATGTCTCGCTTACTTGAAGAAATTTTGCCAACACGTCAATAGGTCGTTTAAAATTGATATCAGGTAATTCTTTTGGGTATTTATCTTTAATGCTAATAAGTCTTTAGATAATTGTAGAAAATAATTTTTCTGTTATTATTTATATTACTATATTACTTATTTACAATACGCTTTCCTAACCTGCCTTTTCAGTCGCCTCACTTCTTATTTATAGTACACAGGATCCGAATGGCACCGTAGTTTCCTGGTAGGCATGAATTTTGGTAAACATTCAGAAATGATGTTCTTAAAATTTTACCATCTCTTCTACTGTACATCCGCTAGAAGCCCAAGCCCGAAAATTGCTCCTTAAGTATAATTGCACGTCTGTGACGTTTATTCGAGAAAACTGAAAAATTTCTCTTTCTTTTACAAGATCATTTCGTTTAACCCCTCTGCACATTTTTAGGACTCCTTTGTGATCGCTAATTCCAGGAATTACCACGCAGGCAAGAAGTTGGTCCACCGGTCTAATAAGGAAAACGTCCAGTAAAGCATTATCGCGGTCGGTTTGGTCACTACCAATGTTAAGCGCAGAGATCACATTCCTTCTCTGCGCCACCCACTCGTACATTCGGTTGACTACATCAACCCCTCTCCATGGAATGCAACGACGCCGGAGAATGCCACTAATATATATTTTAGCTTTAGGGAATTGCTCTTACGCTTTCATCGCGAGGTCACCCATATCTCCCATGACAGTCAGGATGTCTCCTCCTCAGGTCGTTAGTACCAACATGTACAATTACGGTGTCTGGCGTTCCCAGTTCCCAAGTCCTCTCTACATAACTCCGCAGCTGCTCGGTTCGGATTCCCAGGAGGCACACAACCTCTATGTGCTTGTTGACATTGCCTACATGTCGCACTATTGAGTCACCAACAACGAGAATGGGTTTTCTCGCAGTTGGCGCCTCTACAATTAGCTGTGCGGCGTCTCTTACTGTAGCAGCTCGGAGTTTCTCCTTCAGAGATGCGTTTAACTCCAACTCCTGGATTTGAAGAAGAGCAGCTTCCAGTTTCTCTTCCAGTTGACGCACTTTGCTTTCTTTGCACTTACAGCAAAACGACTTGCCATCGTCCATGGCCCCATTTTTACCAAAACTCGCATGGTACCACAAACCAAACTGTTCGCACTGCTTGACGGATTTTAGGTTGTTATTGCAACCACTGCACAAGATGCGAAATGCGACCGACCCAAGGCCGGAACTGCGGCGTTAAAGTAATGTCTAGAGAGATTTGAAAGCGTTTAGTTTAAACCAAATGCTTACTTATGTATCTGAGACGTAGGATTTGATCGAAGCACTGATGTAGGGAGAATCGCGTTCCAGTAAGTAAAGTGAAAAATGACTAAACTGAGTACCAAGCGTAACCTTGGCAATTAAAAGGGAGAAAAGAACAGAAAACACTCTAAAACAAACACAATATTTCTACAACAAATTTCAAACTAAAGCAAATATTTACAAAACTTTAAAAAAATGTTCATGGGAAGTTCGACTACCATAACGCACAGCACTAAGGGACACAGAAATTACAGTGCGCTTGTGGCCCGATATACCAATTGACATGGAGGGCGACTCGCTTCTCCTTTCAATAAACGTAAATATTTGAGACAGCAACTTTTAGGCCATATACTGCTGTGCAAGCTTATGATAATCCGCAGGGCCATTTGCTGCTTTACAAATCCATTGTGCCTTAAAACAAAAATAAACTACCGCTCACTGCTCGGCCGCATGCTCGCGAGACGGCACCAAACAGAACCTCTTCCCCTCGCTGTTTACGCCTAAGTGGCCCACAATTTGTCTAAAACGAACACATTGCGGTAGTTTATGTCCCTTTTGTCCAACAATTGACTCCTAACAAAAACACAAATGATAAGTTTCTCAGAAATCATTTTATTCGACACTTACAACACTTGAAGTGGTTCAGTTGTGAACAGCGCGGAACAAAGATACTAGTAGCGAAACCTACTAAAGGTCACCTGTCGCAGCGCTGATCACGTGATCAGCGCGCTGTCAACATGAACACTGCCATTTGTTTCCATGTGGACGTTCTCGTTGCTTCGCTCGCAGCTCTGTTCTTATATTTTCTCCCTGCTCCAACATAAACGTACCCATATATAGGCAACACATATCTACGTCATGAGAAATTGACGGGTGACGGGCGCGCGCTTCCTGTGGAAGTTTTAGAGACGAGCGGAGAATGTGTATAACATGCCCACCGCTGACTCATTTGTGGCGTCGCCGAAAACTACCAGTCGCCGCACTAGTTCCTCACCTCTTGTGGAGAAATGTAGCTGTCGTCAGCTCTGGCGAATTCCGCAGTCGCCTTCTAAGGAGAGACGGATGCAGGATTTCATTTACATCTCAGTTGAAAAAACTATGCTCAAATGCTTCATGGTGGTGTGATACTTTCCATTCCTGATAGACAAGTTCGGTATCTCTTTTTTTTTTCCCGTACAATAAGAGAAAAATCCGGTGTTAGCACAACCGTAATATATTGTAGCAAACATGGAAGTTATAAGATAGGTTCAGGTGACCACGTTTTGCGATAAAGTTTGAAGTGATCTAGAAATTTTACCACATTTTATTCCATTTCTTTCATATTCAATTGTTTCAGTACCGGTTTTCTCAGTCCCCTCTTATCGATTCCGTAATCTTCTTCCATAGTGCTTCATTTCTTCATCTCTGCTGGATGCAAACGTCATCAATTTCAAGCGAAGTACCCCTGATTGATCAATCCTTCCTCGACTAATATGTTCATAAATATGGATCCTTCATCAGTAAAACTAGTATTTTTATCGTCATAATTCATAAGATACCAATATTTTTCTACTATACTTCTAATACGTTTTCTTAGTAGATTACTGCAAGCAGTTTATAGTCAACATGCTAACGAAAGCTAATGAAAACTAAAATAAAGATGCACAATCATTGCAGAACGCGTATTCTTGAATTTACATCCTTTCAGCAATTGTTATCCCAAGGCTTGGTAAATCTGGAAGTAAGCATTCTAACGATCAAGCGTTGCAGTCCAAAAACCTACTTTCCGAAGTAATTACTGAATTATATATAAGCAACATAAAGAGTTGATAAAATGAACGCGACAAAGCATCTGAACTTTTTATAGAATAAAAATTCCCAGAAGCTTAATTGCAAATACAAAAGTATAAAAGGTCATAAGACCAAATTGCCATTTTGTAGTTTTTGGAAGACGCTTAGAATATTGTAAACTTCAGTAATTTTCGACAGTTTCAGGTTTCCACGATAATTGCTCCAGTGTAAACTCCATATATTTCAACTTTATTGTTACAAAACAATGTTGAAAAAACTTGATGGTTGAAGCATTAATGTAATGTATCTCATAAATTTAACATATTTTCAAAATTGTAAGCTCTATATCCAGTTCAGATTTATCGGGATATTAGTTTTTATACTAAAATTAACTTATATACTTAAAGCGAAATTGTAGAAAGACTGACGGTCGGACGTATTGAATTTAAAAAAACTGACCAGATAGCCCATAAAACGGTCCGAATTTTCTCTTGGAATCCCTAATGGTTTTAACGAATTCACATCCTTCTCTGTACTACGTAATTAACTCCGTATTATACTTATACTTAATCAATTTTACTTTCTAAGTACACATGATACGTATGAAATTGAATTAGGAAAACCATCTGTTAACGGTGACGAGTGGTCTTGATTTAAGGTCAAGGATGAGCTACAGTATATTGAAATCGGATTAAGAGCTGATTGGATAGAGATGGATACTGCACTCTTATCGCCATATGAGCATTTGAAAAATGAACTGAGTTTTTGTTGACGCACTTGGGAGACATGTAAGTGGAAGATGTACATTGGATTTGTAGAATTATCCGATTTCAATTTCTTTTTCATTTTAAATTTAATATATTGAAGGTGTTGCAATGCATGTACTAGTCAGCTTTAGTATATTAACATGCTTGATAAATTGAGTTCAGATTTATTCCAAGGTTTTCTCTATCTAACTATAAAGTATGTTTAATCAACATATAATATTTTTGAATTGGCATGTAAACTTTAAGTTAATAATAGAGATTAAGAGCTGAGAATAATAAAAGGTATTACATCATGGGATGATTTATTTGCAGTGTACATGTAAGTAAAGGGTAAAAAAGAATGGTCACAGGATCAACTTACATGGTCCATATCTGATTTGGTTATGAAATACACTGAATTACAATGCTAGATTTACAAAAAATTAAGGAGTTTAAAAATTGTGCAAGATGGAAATATAAAAAGAAATTATTTGAAAAACAGTTTCTCTAGAAAACTAAGGGCAAGTCATTGGTATTGCGCCTTAGATTTTCATATTTTTTTAAGGATTTTTATTCTGTAATTATTTGTATTATGTGCTAATACCTTGTAGAAAGCCAAACTCACATTCTGCTTGAAATTGTCATGAGACTGAAAACATCAATACGTTGTTACACTATTGTTTTTGAGCATTTTTTATTATTTTCCTGAAAAACATTGTTCATTTGTAGATAATCACCTACCATCTACAGTTCAGCATAGCTAGCGCAGTTTTGTAAGAGTGCATTATGCAACGTTGCTAGGAGTTGGGGAAAACCGCGCAACGATAGACGTGACTAGAAGAGTAATAGTTGCCAAACCATTATATTAAATAGAAAGTCAATATGACTGAGATTTGTTAGGCTGGTTGTGTAAAGCAACGAAAGAACAAATGAAAGAAAGTCGATAGTTAGAATCAGAGGCGAGAGCGAGGTTAGTAGACACGCCAAGAGCAAAAGAAGAACTAATCGCGAGTTTGGAGCTAATAGAACTTGTATAGGCGAGTCGACGCCGATGGAAGGCGCAGGTGCTAGGAATGAGGCGAAGGCGCAATACACGTACGGCTTGATCACGTTATGGACGATTCGAGGGAGAGAGATGAACTATCACCACCGTACTAACGTGTTTAAGAGCCAGGGAAGTGGTAGGGTGGACCAGGAAGATATGGTTGCAATACATATGGGGGCTATTTCCCCTAAATTAATTACATCGGCTGACGGGAAATTCACTAAGACTATAACGGACATTAAAGCTAAATTTGTTAGAAATTACAAATTTAATGTGCTGAAAACGTAGCAGTTGATTGGTGAGGCACATGAAATTAAAAACACGTGGAGTGTAATTGCCGCGAAATTATACAACTATTGTATGGAATGGTTTGACGGGCTGCAGCAGTGACTGACCAAATGAAGACGGCGAGTGAGACGAGATGATGAGTGGGGAGATTTCGCAATGCCACTTGACATTCGCGAAAGAAATCGACAACTATGAAAACAAGTCGGAATGGAAACTGAGTTTTCGGAACCTTTTGCAGAATACAAAGCGGGGGGGGCCGAATGTGGTTAACGTTTGGAAAGGCAGAACAGCGAGGTACTACAGTCACCGGGAATCACCTGTGACAAGAAGAATTCTTTTATATATTTCCGCAAGCGTACTGTCCTTGGTTTGTCGCGATACAAATCATGCTGTCGATCTATCTGAATTAATTCTCACAGGAGCTCTTTATCTGCACCTTTTCATTCGGGCGTCGTATTTAAGTGTCGAATAGGGAAAAATCATTTAGCTTCCTTACGTGATGATTGTTGCTTCGCTCTCAATTAGTAGAACTATGCGAGCGGGTAATGACAATGATTGTTCCCGGCTTTTCGAGGCTCGTCTAAAGGTGTGCCATGAGACGCGAACCACGCCAGGTTGAACTAAAAGAAGAGTAGTTTGGCAAATTTTTATTCTGCCCTGATGTTTCCAGGAAAAAAACGTCCCCGTCAGGTGATGCTGAACGTGTGCGGAAGGTTAGGACATGTGCGAGCCAAAAAAGAGCTCGTTATGTGCTGGTACCACCCGTAAGGGGAAAGATATTTGCGCTGATGAATAATTGCGTGCGAAGTTTCAGGAAGTCGATAGGGACGAACAAAATCATCCTAACTGCGATATAGCTGGCATGTAGATATCCAGATGGCGATTGCATAAACGTATTTACGAGCGACGATTATGATCAGCGGCTCTTAGAGCTATTAGCAGGATAGATTCCG